CCCCAAAACCCCAAAACCCCAAAACCCCAAAACCCCAAAACCCCACAATAAAAGAGGGAGATTGAATCTTTTAGCATGAACTTTATACTAAATATCTTTTCTGTATTGAGCATCTTTGGGAATTATCTTTCACATGCAATAGCAAGCACTTAACAGTTTGACAAGTTTGTAATCCATCTGGTTCTGGCTTCCTTGATGATATAAATTTGATGGCTGGGATTGGTTTGCAAGAGTTGTTGGATCAAAATAAGTTGGGTTTAAACTTTGCCAATTTCCTTGGACTTGCATACAGAATAAGATTGGTTGAGCAGGGAGGCAATTTTCATTTGTAGTAGGGATTATGTTGACATTTGTATGCTGTCCTGGGCTTATTTTAATATCTAAAGTTGTTATTTTTGACTTACCAATTGGTACTGTTGATTTGATAATTGCTTCATGCTCAAAAACTGGAATGTTTTGTGCTATTGAAGCTTTCTCATCTATTTTCTCAGGAAACTGATTTTGAGAAAAACTCTTTAAAATAATTTCTGGAGTCTCTTGTTTTGATCTATAAATCACTTCTAAGTACATAAAATAAAAGAATAATAAGATATGAACATATTAAAAATTCCACAACTAAATATCAATTCCTAAACTTCATAAAAAGCAAAGAACTAACCCTCTAGTATCATTCTTTTATTTCTCCCTCACCCATTTACCTCTTTTCTTTGACTTCAAACACTTCTTGTTCCTTAATCTGTCTCTCCACCCTCTCATCCCCACCAATCTCTTCTCCCAATTTCCTCTCACACTTAACATCTCTTCTCTTCTGCCCCACACCCCTCTGCACCTCTACTCTCCCTCCTACCTCTTCAGACCCTCCTAATCCACCTCTCAACCCCATCTGTGGTCTCCTATCTCCAATCTGTTCCTTCTCTTGCTGCGCATCTTCTTTCTCAATCTCTTTCTTCTGGGTTCCATAATGTTCATTCTTATGGAATCTCAGGTTCTCACAGGTGTTGGTCTGATATAAAAGATGAGGATTTGTAGTAACAGAAGTAAGAGAGAGAAAGGGAGATTAGGGGGTGAAAGGAGATAAGGAGGGAAAATGGGGGAAGGAGGGATTGGGGTGGGGAGGAAGGGGTAAGGGAATTTTGAGGGAGGCTTTGGGGTGGGAGGGAATCGAAAAGATGGAAAGCTTTGAGGCGTACTTTAATGTATTCCATAGGGTCTTCAAGTCCGTAAATTTTCTTTATCTGATTAAAATATTTTCTTAAATGGGATTTTATCTGAAGTCTTTTTCTAGTGGGGACCTATTTTCATAATAGATTGAATTTGAGAAATGATTTACCATTTTCTTCAGCATAGGCCAATCAATTCCGTGCATTTTAAGTCCTAAAGAGTTACAAGTGGCTCACATTTTATGAATTGAGCATGCTCTTCACTGGACCATTTTCCTGTATTATAGCCCTTAAGCCATGAAAATACTTTTGGCTAAATGAATCAGTAAATTAACAAATGAAGCTTTTCAAACTTTTTATTCTAAAAAAATGGTATAATAACCCCGCTATTTTAAGTCTAACTTACCTCTTCTTCTTTATTCATTGCTATCTAAAGGAATTATTAAACCATAAACTTCTCCAATGATATCTGAAAAACAAAAATATCTATGTGCTAATTGGGCTATCTTTGAACAGCCAAGAAAGAACTTAAATACTTGCAAGGCACTCTAATTTTACATTACGTAAAACTGTCATAGTGCTCCTTTACGAGCAAAATAGGCTTTTAAACCCACTATATCTATCTAAAGAGTAATCTCCGGTGGATTATAGCAGCAGGAAATTACAGAGCAATGCATCTTTGAGATTATACAGCTAAAACTTTCTTGTTCAGACACATAGGGAGAAGATTAAAAGGTAGGTTGATAAGAATTTGTGAGATACAAACGATGTTACAACTCAATATTTTCTGACAAAAAGTTAAACCCAAAACACTATCTTTTTTAAACTTGCTGAAAGCAGTGTGCTAGCTTAAGCAAGATGATTAAGAATAGGGTCAGAATAATTTTAACCATTAAGTCTCTGTTTTTTTGGGTACCAATGAGTTCAAGATAATTTCAGAAATTATTAAAATTTTATGTTAAAATTTGGAAGAACTTGGTATTTTAATGGACTAAGATCAAGAGTATGCTATTAAGTTTTCGTTTTAGCTTAAGAAATCATAGCATGATAAAGGTAAATCCTGATAATCCTGTATCTATTTACCACAAAAAATAGATAACAATATTGCAAAAATTTACATGGAAATATGCAAATTTTAATTGGATTTTCATGGTTTACTTGTTTGTTATATCTTCACAATTATGAATTGGTACTATTGATATTTCAGTAAAAAATTAAAAGACTAAAACTGGCAATTTAACAACATATGAGAGTCTGGGATTCAAAAAGATGCTCAATAAATCCTTTTAGATATCTTCTTGAATCGCTTTTGGTGTTTAATAACGATTAGCAAATATCAAAATTTTAGTGCAAGTTAATATTCTCTGAGGATTTTAAATAATAAAAATCGTTAAAGTATCCCCTTATCCAAGGCAAGATAAATCAAACATGAAGTACCTAATCTTTAAAACAAGGAACTTTCATCCCTTTTAAATTTATTTCTTAATACAAATTTGGAAACTTGTAATAATAATTTTAAGAATTTAGTAACCCAAGGCTAACGAAAATTTCCCATATTTCATCCTCACTCCCCAGCTAATTCTTTGGCACCAGTACACCTCCATACCACCCAACCCAATCCTAAAACACTTTCATAATTTTTAGCCATCTTTAAACAATCGCCTATTTCACTTAAAATTCGGAAACCCCATTTCTTAAATTCTTAATCCTAAAGTCCATATACTAAAAGCAATTTATCTCCCGAAGAAATCTGTGCGCAGTATCACCAATTTGCTAGCTTGGTGATCCCAGCTTGCTAGAAGGCGGCCTGTGATGTGTGTGAAGGGGTGAAGACATAAGGTGGTAAAGTAAGTCAGATTTTAAGAAAGAATTTTAGGATGATAAGGAATAGAGAAGAAGGTGGAATTAAGAATTTGGAGATGAGTATAGTCAGCTTGAGTTTAATCAAAAGGTAGGAAACACAAAAGATACTTGAGAGAAGAAGGCTATTACAGTTTAGGTATATAGGAATCGTAGGTTAAGGATAAATAAAATTTCAAACCTTAAAAGTTTATAAAATTAAATTTTTGTTGAGAGTTTGCACACCTTTAGCCAAACTTTAAAAATAACCCTCAAATCATTAATATCCGATCCCAAAACCCCAAAACCCCAAAACCCCAAAACCCCTTTTTTCAGGCCAAATATTGAGCAATGCTTAACACTGTAGAAAATTAATATAATGGGATCACTGACTCCCATACTCTTTTAAATGGATCATAGGATATCTTATACAGTTGGCTTTGGTATTCTGCCAAGTCGAAGTCTATAGTTAAAGGTTTTTCTTCATAATGCCCTTTGAACTTGAGCATAATCTTCAGGGTCCCAAACTCATCCTCACTAACCGTGAAAACGTGTGGCTCTTTCTTGGAGATAAGCCTGGTTTTCTTATCTTCACCTAACTGTACATCAACTCTAGGGAACAAGCTGTAATAGTTATGATGCTCATCCCTGCCGTTGACCTCTACCATGTCTCCATTTCTAACAACTTCACAGAATCTGGTGATTCTCCACTCAGGGATTTCCATATTGAGCTTGGCCATCAATCTTTCTATTACGTCGTCACATCTTGCATGGATATTCAAAGCTGCATATGGGTCTAGTGGAGTTTTCTGTAAATTCACGATGACTAGTTTTCCTCCATTGTCAAACACAGTTTTAGGAACATCTGCTGCAGGTGTAACTCTCAGGCTGGATCCCATACTAAGACACAGGTCTGCTCATGAAGCATGATTGAAGGCATTATCAAGGTCTTCCTCAGGTAACCCTTCTCCAAAATTAATGATGGTATCTTCTAAAATGCCTCCACAATTAGGATCATCTCACATCCTCCCTGTCTTATGATCCTTAACTCTTTGTGCTGTTCGGACTCTGAAGTCTCTGAGATATTCCTTGCCACACTCAATGCATTTCTCACGATTGGTGTTTCCATGAAGCTCTGAAATCTTATCAGGAGTGACTCCACTCTTCCGATGTAGCCCATCAGTATTCTGAGAGACCAGGAATTTCATCAAACCTGTTTCAATCATTGAGACGAATGCCATATGGGTCCTTGAAGGATAAGCAGAGCTTGAATTAACTCTAACTGCTTTCTTTTTCTTAGATGCTGCTTTCTTTCCCTTATTCGCTGCTAGCTCCCATCACCCAGGGCCTGTTTCTAATACTGTATCCATTCCAGAGCGGAAATCAGGGATGCCTGATGCCGTACTTATGCCAGCTAAATAAAAATTTAACAAAATCAGACAGTTTAGGACTTACCACCTGTGAAGGAGATGAAATGTTCTGAGGAGAGGATCCAGAGAGCTAACTTGTCTACCTTTTCCTCCAATTCTTCCTCAGTATCGAAGTATTCCTTCTTATCTTCCTCTTCTTTTATAGCTGTATCTGCCATTTATAAATATTTTTATAGAAAAGACTTAAAATTTTCTCTTTATATAGCCTTTCTCTCACTTAGGTGTAGGATTAAAAATTCAACCAGGAGACGAATGATAGGGGTTTTGGGGTTTTGGGGTTTTGGGGTTTTGGGGTTTTGGGG